CCTTATCCCTCGCTCCCCTAGCAGCTGATACTCTTCACTGCTCTCCAACGCTCTGGGTTGTGGGTGGGCCCTCGGCATCTTCACAATATAGGAGGGCCACAGCACCACCCCCCCTGTCCATTCATAGAATGCCTAATAATCATACTAGGCAACAATACTAGGCATTCACTGTGCCGAGCAAGTGACCCCCTGTGTTTTCACACCAGGGGGAAAGTCACTCAGCACAACGGCAGTACAAGGCCCTGAAGATCGTGGCCAGCACTGTAGTAGCTGCGGCTACTCCAGGACTTCACAGGAACCTGGTGTCCTTACCAGGTATAAAATATGTATACATACATTGGGCCAAAATGGCCTAATGTAAGTATACATAAACCTTTGTAGCTGGAGTTCAGCTTTAAATCTATATCCCTTCAGGGGAACTTTATTTAACGTTTTTCATTTTTATCCACCAATATCTCAAACATGTTGATTCTCATGTTGGATCTTATACACCACCCTGTTGTCTAAAAACATTTTCATATCAAATTCCCATGAAGTGATGACAACTGAATAGGTATTTGATGTTTCAACATATTTACACATAATACAACTTTGATGTTTAGGCTAGGTTCACACCTGGCGATCCCGGACCGTACGGCAATCATGCACAAAACCGCACGGATTGCCCTGCGGCAACGGAGTCGCCCACCGCAGCCGATCGTGCTGTGGGTGCCATTATTTTCTAATGGCACGCCAGTCACGCTGGGCGGATTGCGCAGTTTGCCGTCGCAATTCTGCCCATGCAACTGAACACACAAAAAAGCAACGCGTCGTGTTTCGCAAAAAAGGGCCGTGTGGCAACCGCTGTGTGCACTAGCACACAATCATGCGGCCCAGGGACGCCCATCCTGAGTGTCGCTGCTGTGTGAACATAGCCTTATACATAGCTCACTTTTTCTGGAACTGGATATGCATGAAAAATGCTCTGGAATGTTGCCAAAACCTCCAGGACTATTTAAAGGGTCTGTGTCGATGAGGGTTTGTTTGCATTGGGTGGATTTTGCAAGAGTCTATAGGAGGTCAATTGCAGGTCATATGCACCTGTCCGTGAATTCTGAATGTTCTTGAAGGTGTCTCAAACTGATGCCATCAACACAAGCGTTGACACAGGACCTTAATATATTTTTAAAAAGATCTATATTAAAGATGTATTGGTGCTGTTTACAAAAGGATAGCACTGGCCTAATAAATGGCTTCGTAAAGGAGGATCACTGTGGGTTGGAGTGCTTGGACCATAACACAGGGAACACAGAGATCCTGCTGCACCTTGCGTGTGAATTGAGGTTCTTCTGGGCTGGCATGTATTCTTCCTTATCCATGCTATTTTACTGTGGATCAATATACAGTGTTTATTTCTGACCCACAAGCAGTCATTAAGTTTTAAATTACATTTTGCATAAATCCAGTTCACATCCAATTTTGCTATACCACCTTCAAATCTGATCTTCTGCACATGGCCAACGTCACTAGTGTTCCATGTTATCCCTGTGGAGGCATCTGAATAGAAGAGCAATTCAATATGAAAGATAAGAATGAATATTCTGTAAGCAGAGACAAATTCTTTGTTCCTATGAGCCTGGCATTAACTAAAGGAGGCATCAGAAAAACCTGCATGACCTCCACGTTTATGGTGGGGGCAGAGAATATATTTTTCCACCAACATCAAGAGATATCTACACTGTGTCCCTGTGATCTCAGTCTCTCACTTGTCTTTTTTTTTAATTCTAAAAGAAATCATGTAGTGACAAAAATACAAAGTTTGCCTTTGTTGAGCTCCTTTTAAAAATGCTAGTTGCCTGGCTGTCCATTTTATCCCGTGACTACAAAAGTTTGAGTCCCTGGCACAAATATGCAGCAGGAGTCCTGACTTCACTTGAATTTTGGTGGCTGCAAACTTGTTCCAAGTCAGAAAATGATCAAGTCAGAGACAGGCAAGCAACTAGCAGCTTCTAGAATGAAGCCAGCATTGGTATCTCTGTATTTCTGTCTATAAATATTATAATTTTATATTTACTAGATCTGGTTTTAATTTTTTTTAAATGCCCCTCATCTAACTATAACACTCACCTTCAATCAAGAGCTGTCTCCTGCAGTACCCCATCTTTGCCACAAGATGCCCTCAGTCTACTAGATTAAGTGAAGCCCGAGGTTCTTGGAGGTGATTATTGGGGTGATGATCTTTCTATGTGTATGTATTTAATACAATGTTGAATTAAAAATGATACTTTGATTATATACTTTTGTATTAGGAGGGTTACATAGGCTGCATTTATTGTATGATGAGGAGTTTTTTCTCAGGACAAAAATATATGATTAGTATTATATAATATAGGCAATGTTTTCACCCACCAAGTGCCCTCTCTGTCTTGGAGTTTAGAAGCCCAAGATCACTCAGTACCGAAGACTATGTAGGGCATCATGGTCCTGATCCCTTTGCACGGCACCCTGCACTCAATGTGCATTGCTGCAGAGAGCAGCACTGCATCATCCAGGATTTAAGGCATCAAAGAGAAGTTTGTGACTGGAGGAGAGCCAGTGACATGACTTGGACAGGCCAAGTGAACAACTTTTTTTACCCCTAACTCCCGTTCATTATTACAGCGCTCCACCGGCTTTGGACTCCCAAAGCCAGTGGATCAAAATTCTGTTGTGCTTTATAAATGTGCGTCCTTAATTGCATCATGCCACAGTAAAGCCCTAGCGCTGCATTTTGAATGGGGCGCCCTATGTATCCATGAGAGACTATGGGACCTTGGATATTGCATTTGTGTGTGGATGCCCATCATTGGTGTCGCTACAGGGGGACAAGGGAGGGCAATTGCCCCCCTAGGTTATTCCTTGCCCCCCCCGTGTGCCCCTCTGCTAACAGTGGCGTTAGCAGAGGCCAGTCCCCTGGCCCCAGCAGTGCCGGCCCGCTGGGGGGAGAGGCCGGGCCACAGAAGCAGCAGGTAAGGAGCATGTGCAGGGAAAGGGACCCACGGCGACCAGCCCACCTGAGACCCTGCGGAGCCCACCATAGAGAGTCTCAGATGGGCTGTGCAGGATCTATGGTGTGCTCTGCAGGGTCACTCTCAGGTGGGGTGTATGGGGTCTCAGGTATGTGTGGGGTCTCAGGTGGGCTCTCCAGAATCTCAGGTGAGTCCAGTGCGTTACTAAGTCCTGAGTCCTCTGCATTACTAAGTCCTGAGTCCAGTGCGTTACTAAGTCCATAGCGTTACTAAGTCCAGAGTCCAGTGCGTTACTATGGCCTGAGTCCAGTGCGTTACTAAGTCCTGAGTCAAGTGCGTTACTAAGTCCTGAGTCCAGTGCGTTACTAAGTCCTGAGTCCAGTGCATTCCTAAGTCCTGAGTCCAATGCATTCCTAAGTCCTGAGTCCAGTGCGTTCCTAAGTCCAGAGTTCAGTCCGTTACTAAGTCCTGAGTCCAGTGCGTTCCTAAGTCCAGAGTTCAGTCCGTTACTAAGTCCTGAGTCCAGTGCGTTCCTAAGTCCAGAGTTCAGTGCGTTACTAAGTCCTGAGTCCAGTGCGTTAGAAAAAGCAAAAAAACTAAATCCGAAAATAAATCAGCTCTCAGGGCCTGGCGGTTGCGACATGTAATCCGACGATGCCCACAGTCTCCCTCTTCATCTCCTCCACAGAAGTGCTGAGCGCTGGGAGGAAGTGACTTCACTCCCAGCGCTCTATGGTAGATAACTGCACAGGAGAGAAAGTGGGAGCCATCCAACCACGCACTTCTGGCCCTGGGTCTAACCCATCTGTCCCCATACAGGTAGATATATATTATACAGTATATATTGGTTAGTACTATAAAAAAGTATAATTGCATACCGCATTACTCTCGTATTTTGTAATCGTATTTATATATACTTATTTAGTTTTTTTCATGATTTAGTGGTGAAAATTATTCGTGCCCCCCGCCCGCCTCCCCGTTTTGACTGTGGTATCTTATGTGCCCCCCTATATATTGTTCCTAGAGTCGCCACTGATGCCCATTGTTGATAATGAGGAGATTTTGCGAAGAGATGGTTTACTTTCTGTATTCAGAGGAATTTTACCTCCATCAGAGGAATTTACCTCAATTCTGTGCAATAGTGATGACACTGCTGCCCATAAGATTTCACCTTTTCGCTCTTCTGACTAATCTGAATTAACACCAACATGACTCCTCTTGCTGCTGAACTGAATAAGCAAATTAGAGGAATTATAGGAATACAACAGCAGACTGTGTAATTTCCACTGACATAATCATGAGGAACTCATTTACAAAAGGCAGCGTGCTTATCAGAACGGGACCTGCTCTGTGCCCCGAAGATCTGGACTTTTTCTGCACGTTTTCTATTACAGCCATTCTGCGGTGAAACTCATAAATTCACAGGTTAGTTAAAGTGACAGTGGAGGGCGACAGCATCCATCTCTCAGTTCCCTGTCACTATAGGCTGTGGTTTTGAGCGAGTTTCCTCTGAGTTTCAAAGGCCTTTCACGTGACTTACTTGAAATGAGCTACAGGCCCATTCCAAGAAGAAGTAGAGACAGTCACACTGATAAAGGACGGGGCTCATAGAGGACTGCTCACTTCTCTTCACCTGCTTGTCAGGCCCACCGGGGGTCATGCAGGATTGACCTACAGCTCCCTCCTTGTGTCTGGTCCTTGTGCTCTGGGCTGCACAACCTGCCTTTGTTTCAAAGCTTATTTTGACACCACAAACACCCTGTTGAATGGACTGAACCTTAGATCCCACGGTGTTGGGTTCCTCGGCTTGCAAGCTATGTTCTTCACTTATGCTCTAGCTGGCTGAAGACGTCGGATTTTAACTTCGGTACTTTTCCTGAACCCCAGCAACCTCGTAGCCTGTATCCCATCAACCGACTGTGGGTACCACCTCTCTCTCCTCCCACCCCTGGCTGGTCCCTACAGTCATCTAATGTATGCACTTTCAACTCTCAGCTGCTCAATCTAGACACAATGTCACAGAGATCACCACCGACCATCAGCTCCTACGCCACGAGTGCGCCCAACTCATCTGGATCAGAGGCCGACGCTCTATCCCAGGTACAGTGTTGTTTATACCCTGAGTCAGCTTTGTAAGTGCTATTCTTGGTACAGTTTTTTGTTCATTGATCTCTTTTTTAATATTTGGTTTTCTGTTAGTTGTTATTGATGATTCTTATTATGTCATTTATTTATATTTTAGTTATTTGAAGCAGTTTTATTATTAAATTATCATCTGATAATGCCAAGTCTCCAAAATGATTACATTCAGCTCAGTATCATATAGCAGTTTAGCTTCTCCTTTGGAGGTGCAGCATCATCTTATTGTTACTAAAAATGTAAAATGATCATGATCTGACTGAGGCAATTTCTGCCTTCCGCCATGACTATGGATACCAGAAGCTACCACACGGTGGACCCTTTTCAAGTTACTTAGCAAGCAAATATTGATTCTTTTTGGCTGGTCGTTATTCTTTTAAAACCAAAGCCACCTGACTACTCTTTTTTTTCTCCCTCATCAATACCTGTACACATGCACACTAGGGAAATGACTGGCTATGGCCAGCTTGTGTCCTGTCCTGTCCCTGCTTTCTTTGACTTAAAACATTTTAAATTTTTGTTTGTTACCTTTTAATTATATATTGTATAATCACAGTGAGGAGTATAGCACACAGTGATCTCTATATACACTGTTCTCTATATACTCAGTGGTCTCTATATACTCAGTGATGATCTCAATATACACTGATCTCTATATACACTGATCTCTATATACTCAGTGATGATCTCTATATACACTGTTCTCTAAATACACTGATCTATATATAAATACAGGTACATACAAAGAAGAGGTAGACAACTTTGCATATGGTGGGAATCAATACAGGGAAATAGAAGTGATAGAAAATGTTGTTCTTATATAGTAGAAATAGGGCCTACTATGATCCGCCCCCCCAAAAAAATGTCAGTTCTAAAGGTGGCATTTGGAATGTTGTGGTACAGCAGCATTAATGCTATAAGGAATGATTCGGCTGTCTTGCTTCTGAACCTTTAGCACTGGTGGAATGTACACTGAAAATACACTGCATCGAATGCCCTTCTGTATCCCACACAGTGGGGTTGATTTACTAAAGGAGTAGGTCACTTTTCAGATTGTATATCCACTTTGACAGTGAATGTTAGTAAATAAGATAAAGCTGTGTTTGCTTTGCCTGTGCAATTTTGCGCTAGAAAAAATCCTGTTATTATAATCTCCCTCATACATGATTGGGCATTCAACGCAAACTCAGCTTCACCTCATTTACTTTTACTTTAAAAAGTGAACATACACTTTACTAACTGAACAACCAATACTCCTACATTAGCTAGTGTAACAAAACTGTGAACTGTTCATTGTAAAATGCGCACA